GCAGCCAGAACCCAGAGCTGGGGACAGGAACTGCATGGCCGGAGCCAGGGATTGGAGCCCACTGCTGTGCAGCCGGAGCTGTGGGTCAACGTCCAGGGCCAGTGCCTGCCGCTGCACAGCCAGAGCCCGGAGCTGGGTGCCGGAGCCCAGGGCTGTGTGGCTGGAGCCAGGAGCCAGTGCCTGCCATTGTGTGGCTTTAGCCAGCACTCGCTGCTGCGCAGCCTGGACCAGGGGTTGGCACCTGGGGCCAGCTCCCACCATCACGTGGCTGGAGCCTGGGCCCACACTGCCAGGCTCCTGAAGTCCCACCGCTGGAGCCTGCCACCCAAGCCCCCTCCCCGCAACATGGGTCAAGAACTCACCTTGCTCCTGCAGTGTTGTGCCGCACCTCTCTCCAGAGGCAGTACAGGGTGACGCATCCAGGAGCAACAAGGAGGGAGGGCCCGTTGCTTTGCTCCTCCCATCACCGCCCAGGATGCTGTCATGGCCTCACGAAAAGCCCCTGGTGGCCGCATGGTGGCTGCATTTGAGAAACGTTGGTCAAGGCCAAAGAGGTTAAGCTGCTGATGAGGCCAATGAAAGCCCCCAAAGCCCTGGAAAAACCTCTCATGCACATCAGTGGCAGCCTCAGGAACTAGGAGCAATACATGCCATGTCTGACAGCCTTCCTCACCACACACTCCCCACTAGATCTGTCAACATATGCTCTGGGCCACTGGGCCTCAGCAGCTCCACCCCTAATTCACTCATGTGGCCAGGAACAGCAGGGGAAGGAAAACTGCTGTGGTTGTCTATGAAAGTCACCTAGGTAGCTGCTGCAGTAGAAACAACCCTCATATACTTGGTCTTCTGCTTGTCACAAGGAACAGTTACACTTTGACTTCTGTAGACTATGAATGCTGCTCTAATCAGTGGCCTGATGCAAGTGTTGCCTGCCTCCTCTCTAGTCTTCCACCTTCTCTTTCTTTCCTTCTTTCTCCTCTCAGTCCTTCAACATCATCCTTTCCCTCTCTTTTCTGGTACCTCTTTTTTAATCCCCATTTCCCACCTTGCATGAAATGAAGAAGGCCTACCATCACCCTGCCCATTTCGCTTGGACGTTGTAATTCTTCCCTACCTTTTAGCTGTTTGTTGTCCTTTCGCATAAGAAGGTATTTGGGGCAAGGACTGCGATTTTGTATGTGTTTTGTGTAACATCTAGCACAACAGGGTCCTGATCCTGACTAGAGTCACTAGCTACTACTGTAATATACTGTTTGTCTTGCTGAATTTTAACATCAGACCTCAGTCTGAGGCTCAGGCTGCAATATCCCAGTTGAACCAGTTTCTAACACTGTTTGGCCAGCCAGTGGGGTTGGGGCCAAACTATTTTAGAACCATGTTTTAAAAATTGTATTATAGCATAGGTGCCTGCCATGTCTCAGTAATTCCTCAGGCCATAAGCAAACTGCCTCACTTTTCCCTCAGAACTCACTATACACATGCCCATAGCAAGTAATTACTTTGATTTTGCAGGGTGGACAATTAGGAGAAAAAACAGCAGTGCTTTGCTTGTAAACTGAGAAGAATTGACTGGAAGTCATTAAGTGACAAAAGATATTGGACTCTTATCATAATTTTGTTGTCACTTTTCAGAGTAGAACCACAGTGTAAGTGTTCTTTGGGAATGAGCCCCAAGGGAACAATACCTCAAAATATAGCTCATAATTCCACATAATTGCTTTAATTTAAATTGGTTTTAGTCTCACCTATGTTTTCCCTCCATGACCTTTGACATTTTTTCTTTGATCTGCCCTTTTAAAAATCTTTTCTGTATCTTTTTGTGTAGGAAAAGGAGGAAGAACACCCAGGGACAGAGGTGCAGTAGAATGTTCAGACACTATGTTTTCAATTATGGTGTGTGCATGCCTGCAGTGCTCACTCATCCCCATCTACTCCAACAGAAGTTAGAAAATTCACAAATCTCTGTGACATCTACCCACTTCCAAACTCAAAATACTGATATTAAAGTCTGGTTAGGGACAATTATTGTTCAGTGCCCTTATCTAACTGGTTGAGCAGAAGACCTTTGACCTTGATAATTAGAAACGAAATGAAAAGAACCTTTCCTTCAAAGGCTCTTTAATAAAATTTCCTGTGGGTTCCCAGACACTCGTTCCCTTTGAAACTCATTAATTTAAAACGATCTTGATTATGCTTTACAAATATCTTGAATCCCTAAAAACCATCCTTCCATTTAAGGTATTGTTGTCTACACAGGGCAACTTTTCCCTGCCCAAGATTCTTAGAGCCTATCCAGGGTTGCAGGTTTATGTTCTAAATCTTTCCCTAATATCCTCAGTAAGGTTAATTACTCTTGGGAGTTAATTGCTCATTCATACTGGAAAATAGCCAATACATCCTAAATCTCTCCACATCACTATGTTCTGTCATAGATTTATTATATATACATGGCTATAGTCAGTGTTGTGTCATGTAGACCTACAAGTTACTCATAGCTAGGGATGCCCCAGCTTTTCTCTATTCACTCTTTCTATCAGCCAGTGCCTCAGAAGAGTAAAAACCCTTTCGCTACGGTTTCCAACTCTAAACTTGAGAGAAGTGAGACTCCCTTGTAAAAGGTGGACGGAATCTGCATCCATTTATTGCTGTGTTGATGCTCTTTAGACATCTCCTTAGGTTCTGCTCCAGCATCTCACTGAACATTCATACATCACAGCGATGTCATGCAGAGCTTTTTTTAAAAAAACAAACGTATCTCTACACTTGATGTTGTAAATTTAATGGATTTGAATTTCAAATCCAATATGCAAAACCTGGAAAGATGTGAGTTGTTTGTGAGCCTTCTTGGATTGTTCTCAACAACACTGGCCAAAGAAATCCTTCTTAAGGATAGACTGGAAATACTTCCAGAGATGCCGCATGAAATTCCATTTGGATCGGCATTTTCCACTTCAGTTAATCTAAGGGAAAGATCATTTTAGTGCTTTATAAAGTTTGATTTATAAAGTTTGATTTTGCAGGAATAGTTCTTTAATGCAATTATGTTAAACTGGCACCTTCGTACTCAAGAGCTCCACACCCAGGTGTGTATTTAGTTACAACCATTAACTTTGCTGACTCAAGCAATTTTTTTTATAGCATTGCAGAGTCAATATAGTTCTGGGAGAGGGAACTGGGTTATATTCTGCCTCACATATCATCATCAAAACTTCTAACTGAAGTCTAGTTGCTCAATCTTTAATTGTTAGTTATGCACAATCCTGAAAGAACCCACCTTAATTTTTCACAATGTGGGTGGACTTTGTGGCAGTTAGCAATACTTTTTACTTGCAAAGGGAGCAGATTTGATCCAGAAATCGCTGAAGGACAATAAGTGCAAAACATTACAATGCCATTTTTAGTCACTTTCAGAGTAGAACTGCCTTTTAAAAGCTTCACTTGCTATGCAGAGGAAGACAGAGCAAACAGGGGGTTTGTCTACTCTACACTGTCATTAAAAAATCCACGGAACTGAGTTTCAGGCCGGCTGACTTGGGCTCACAGGACTATAACATTGCAGTGTAGACATTTGGGGTTGGGCTGGAGCCCAGGCTTAGAGGTTCCTTCCTCATGTGGTCTTGGAGCCCAGGCTCCAGCTTGAGACTGAATGTCTACACTGCAATTTTATAGCCCTCCAGCACGAGTCCTGTGAGCTCAAGTCAGCTAACCCATGCCAGTGGTGCCCATGCCATGGGTCTTTTATTACATTGTAGACGTACTCATAGGCTGTTTCCTCTGTAGTATGGAAATGGCAACTTTCAGATAATGACTTCTTTGGATGGCTGATGTTCCTTAGTCAGAAAGGGTTTTTTTGTTTTATTGTTCACTTATGAAATTCATGCTATATCTCAAAAAGCAAAGCACATGTTGGAAATGCAAACACGGGCTTATTATTTGGCTCTGAATGACTTCAGGCTTTGCAGTAGCTTAGTTCATGGGGCATGCATGTTGACTTTCTCATTGCTGTAGAATAAGGTCTCATCCAAAACATCAGATGCTTATCATGTTTGCATACATGTATATTCAAAATCTAATCTTTAGCATCTATTTACAGCTTAGATGTATCTTTTCCCCCAACTGTTCTGTGAAAGGCATTTTTATACCCCAAAGCTTGCCTGTTAATACCATAAGGCTAGAGCACTGTGTGTATGGTTGTTTTTTTTAAAAGAAAACTTGCATGAAATGTATCTGTGCTATTTTTGTTTTTTATACTAATTAATGTGACATCTGCTAGATACATAATCTAGATACAGTTGCAAATTTAGGGACTGCTCATTTTTCTTTAAACTCTCCTGTGATCACTTTTGTACCCCCGTTCTACAAACAAGGAGGAGGAGGAAGAAGAAGAAGAACAGGAGGAAGAGGAAGAATCTTAGTACTTTTTTATGGCTTTTTTTTCTTCAAAGGGTTTTTCAGGTAATTATGAAGTCAGCTTGCTTTAGTTTTTAAACAAGCGTAAGGAAACATCATAGACTTGAAAATCCTGATTCTGCCTGAAATTTCACCTAATATTATTACAAATAACACCTCAGGTGATTAGAATTGAGATTACAGACAAAAGAATATTTTCCAGTTTGTTTACTTTGTACATTTGACAGCACTTTGCGTATAGTCAATTTACTATTCCCACCCCCATATAGTCAGTCAGTTTTCCCTCTTGTTTGTGAGTCTTTTAGACAACCAAAGGTCAGAGAAATATATATATTTAAATATGAAAAGTGACTTGTAAAATCAAAAGGATATCAGGAAGCCTCAAAGGCAGGTGTAGTGTGTGAAACTACTTTTTAACTACGTTTTGACTAGATTTTAAGGGGACAGTGCCCCTTTAACTTCAGCAGATGGCTGGTTTTTATATTTATTTTTGCAATAGGAGGAAGGTAGGAATCCAAGCATCAGCCCTTACACATAACCCCTCTCCTTATCCCTAAAGAAAATACAAAAAAGGTGTTGGGGGTTTCCATACTCAATATTTCAGGGACCAATACTTATCCTTTTCACCCCTCGTTATGGCCTCAACCATGTATAGATGTCGTCAGAGGGGGCCAGTCTCCTAACTAGAAAGCTGAGATGTTCAATTCCACCAAGGACTGCCATTATCACTGCTCTGATTTGGCTGATAACAAGCAGAAGACAGAGAGAATCGCACCCTCTTTTTTGGCCAAGTGGATGTATTTAAAGTGTACTTTTATCGCTAGTCCCTAGAGTCATGCATCTTTTTTTTATATACCTAAAGCTGTATACTGTGCTCTGGAGAATTTTTTTTGATTGATTTGATTCTTCCCAGATTTTTTTTGCCCACATGATATTTTGCCAATGGATCAAAATCATAGTGATCTGGTAGACTTGTGTCACCTACTATAACTAAAGAGTTGTTTTTCAGTAGCTGCATACTAGGGTGCTATTCACCAGTAAATTGAACTTTCTTTCCTTCCTGCACAACTGGAATATTTACATGGTTTGTAAAAATGATAATCGGTGCTATTCAAAGCACTTTTTATATAAAAAGTAAAATTGTCCATGATAATAATAATGATAAAAAATGGAGGGATAGCTCAGTGGTTTGAGCATTGGCCTGCTAAACCCGGGGTTGTGAGTTCAATCCTTGAGGGGGGCCACTTAGGGATCTGGGGCAAAATCAATACTTGGTCCTGCTAGTGAAGGCAGGGGGCTGGACTCGATAATCTTTCAAGGTCCCTTCCAGTTCTAGGAGATGGGATATCTCCATTAATTTATAATAATAAATTAATAAGTTCCCATTTTAAACACTGACATCTGGAAATGTAAAGGTTAAGATTCTCTGTAATAACCCACCTAGCACATATGGAGCTCAATTTTTCCCTTAGAAATAGCCATGCATCTCCTACCAGAGTTGTACGTGCATTTCTGAATGCATATGCAACTCCAGGACTGAGCCCATTCTGTATTAAGATATAGACACAGCAGTATAAACTAATAAATCATCATACTCAATATGTCTGATGTGGGTGAGGTCACTCCATTCTTCATCACTGCAACTCCATTGACTTCAAAGGGTTACTCCTGACTTACACTTGCCAGGTGAGAGGAGATAGGACCTCTTAATGCTTCCATGACCAGATGTCTGAGTGTTTAATATTGTTAATTTAGTTTTACATCAAAGTATGTTTTTGTATTTAATTCCCCAGGTTTTCTTTGTTTTTCCTTCTTAAAGAAGAAAGGGTGATTAAGAGCCAGATCAGCTCTCAACTGGGAAAACACTTGTTTAGGGAATGGGAAATTCAGCATTTCTAGCAGATTGTCCCCTGGTGGGACAGGTTCTCTCCTTCTTTGCAGTACAGGCAGAAGCAGATCCAAAGCCCCTTGAAGTTAATGGAATTCCCAGTGACTTCAGTATCTGGGCTTCCACTCACAGAACTCAGCAGATCCATGGATGCCAGGGTGGAGACCCAGTGTCTCAGCACGGCTTTGTGAGGGATGAGGGGCCAGCCATCCCACCTTTCACTCTACCCCCATCCCAGCACTGGGTTCCTCCACTGCTTGGGAATTAATGTGCCCTAATGTTGTACAGTGCTTTGTATGTGAAGTTCTATGACAGTGCCAATTTTATTTATTTATCTGCCTTTTTCTTCTTCAGGAAGCACAAGTCCGTGCAGCACCAGAGAAAATAAAACCACCTCTTCCCCCCAAACAACCCACCATTGCCTTTCGCACCAACACATGTATAGACATCTATATATCTCCAAATCACAAGACACCACTCTGCCCGATATTATATATATATTTGGTATTCTGGTCTTTTGTTAAAGTGGGTCATCCTAATTCTGGCTGACAAGATCTCAGACTTAGCTTTATATGTTCTAACAGTACTGTCTATGTCTAATTTTAGATTGTAAGCTCCTTGGGGCAGGGACCGTGTCTTCCTCCATGTTTGTACTCTGCCAAGTACACTATCGGCACTCAGTAAATAACCACAGTTGTGCATCGAAACTGTTTTAGGAGGTAAAGAACTTCAGCACTGAAAACGCCAAAGAAGATCCCTGTGTACAAGCTTTGTGTCGCTTATTTCTGAACTGGCCTTTAAAATGAATGTGATTTCCATTGTACAGTAGTTTAAATAAACACATTTTAGGTCAGGTCTTCTGTTTGTCCACAGAGGTATTAATTTAACCATAGTACATGTCACAGTTACAGGGCAAACTGCATCAGTTACAGGGCAAACTGGGTGGAAACCTGCAGTCTGGGCTACAACCCCACTGTTTCCCTAACTGCATTTAGCACCTGTCAGCCCTTTCACTATGGGGACC